TTATCTTGAACATTTTTGCTGTCTTGTAGATAAAAGATATTATTAATAAATTCTACGTAAAAAATTAGGGTAAAAAATAATAAATATCTTTAATCTAAAAAGTACTTTTAAGGACATTTTTTAAAATGAATGAAAAAATTATTTATCCTTTTGAACATAAAAAGTTGAAAATGTGAAATAATTTAAATTATTTGTGTTCAGTTAATCCCTTTTTTAGATTACTCCGAAGTACAAATTATTGTAAAAAGAATGGCATCTAAAATACAATGTGTCTGATAGGCGTGTGAAGTTTTTCATGAGAAACAATAAAGTGGAGTCAAAGAACAGAGAAACATCTCAAGGTTAAGGTGAAGGACCTTTCATTCAACGGCTTAAGCTAATTAAGAGATTCGTGTAGTTTTTCATTACTTTTCTAATGTTCCTCTTTTACTAGTTTTTTCTTTATTTTATGACTGCCATTAATAGATGGTATCTTTTCTTTTTATAATATCTATTAAGGAAAGAATTTCTCAACTATATTATTTTTATTTACCTTTTTAAATATCAATAAATTGTAATGATCTTTCATGGGTTTTTCAAACACAATACCAATATGTGTAGAGATACTTTTAAAAAAAAATTTAATCGACATTTTAAAAAAAGCTCTCATTAATACTTTTTTTTCCAGCTCCTTTTCCAAATGTCACTAGAACAGCCAGAGAAAAAGGTAAATATTAAATTCTTTGTGATTATTATCCTTTCATGAGTTTAATTACCAGTGTTAGCCTCTGTGAGGGATCCACACTAATTGTGTCAAAATGTATGATGAATGGGAGCAAACAAAATAAAACATGGAAACACCTCGATTCAACGTAAAAGTAATAAAAAAAATTCGATACAATAGCTGAAATGGCTTCGTTCGGAATCGATCACTGAATTTTAGTTTTAAAAGGCTGTTTTTCAAATGTCACTAGAACAGTGAGAGAAAAAGGTAAATGCTTAATTCTTTGTGATTGTTATCTTCATATGTGTTTAAATACCCGTGTTGGCCTCAGTGAGGGATCCACACTAATTTACAAGATGTGCAAAGAAATGTTTGATGAACGGGAGCAAAAGAAACAAAACATGGAAGCACCTTTATCCAACCTAAAAGTAATATAAATGTTACGAGCTAAAATGGCTTCGTTTGGAAATTGTCACTGACTTTTAGTGTTAAGAGGCCATTTTTCGAATGTCACTAGAACAGTCGTTTAAATACTCGTGTTGGCCTCAGTGAGGAATCCGTGCTAATTTACAAGATATGTAAAGAAATGTTTGATGACTGGGAGCAAACAAAACGAAAAATGGAAGTACCTTTATTCAACCAGAAAGTAATAAAAAAAATTCGATGCAATGTCCAAAATGGCTTCATTCGGAATCGATCACTGAATTTTAGTTTTAAGAGGCCTTCAACATTTTGGATTAAATATTTGATTTTTGTGTTTTGGATATTTTGTGCTTAACAATCTTTTGATGTTATAGTATTATTCGATAGCAAAATAACTTTTAAAAAAGGTAGAAAATAATTAGATTAGGAGAAGTTGCGCGCTATAATTTTTAGAATGTCAATGGATTTTTCCTCAAAACTTTAAAGCAATAAATCCATACCATGCCCTGGCTTGAGAATTATTTGAAAAACTGATAGTCTAGCATACAGATCACCATGAATGAATTTCTTATAACATTTTGTTGAAACTTCTGTGACAGCTGTGAGTGCTGAATCAAATTCTTTAGCACAACCAGGAACAATTATCACCTTCACGTCGCACATTTATTGCCTAATATTGATCTTTTCGAACGGTTATTACTCTTAGTCTTGCTTGTACTAGTCATTGGGTAACACCTCCCGTACTTTCAAGCATCAGTCACAGGCTTGGGATCATAAACTGGGGCACATTTAAAATTTGAGAAGCTTCAGTTTTAAATTGTACTCGTGTCAATATGTCTTCATTTCAAAAACATGTCCATTTGGTGTTTTGTGCCCTACTTTGCTCTTTTATATCATTAAACTCTCTCTTCCACATAGCAATTACACATAACCTGCCTGATTTCCGTATGGAACACGAACTGGTTTTACACTCCCTCTCGTGTGCAGCGCATGTCAGAGCATATTTTTCGCATGTGCTCACTGTGTTATAATCTTTACAAGTGATTTTGAACAATTTAACCAATATTTACTCATTTATTCTACATTTTACGAATTTTGTTTAACTTTGGATAGTGATGAGTTTTGAACAGTGATATATTGAGTCGAGTGTAAATATTTTAAAATTTTTCCAATTTACTAACTCACCCAACATTTTGTTAAAATAACAAACATTATTCGATAAATGTTATTAAATTCTATAAAAACCCTTGAATTAAGAAATTATGTTTAAAATACAACCTTTCATTGCTAAATTTTTTTGAGTTATTCAGTTCAATATAGTATAGTAGCTGAATATGTTAAGCGCATATCTCGGGCAAATTCATGGCAGTAAGTCTTCACTTCAGTATGAACACACCTTAAAATGCTCCCACAACCTGCTGTTACGCTATAATTTTATACTTTACAGCTTGTTCATTGCAAATGCCGCGTTTTGAACGTTATCGAAGGAGAAATTTTGTTTAAGATCGAATCCATCATTAAGAGATCTTCTGTCGAACGAACTCAACAGTCAAAAGGGTGAAGGAGGATAATTCTAATAAGCCTTATTTTTTGAAACATGTAAAACAAGACCCAATCAGAAATTGAGTATAAAGCTCGCGGTATCTTAAATTCTCGATTCATTTTTTCGGACAGAATTATACCTATACAGTTCTGCGATCAGTAGTTTTTGAAATATAGTTGAAAAGTATACAGTTCTATATTTGTAGTTTTTTTATAAATATCTTTGTTTTCGTGCAATTAACGTTATAATAATTTTTAACATGATTCAAATCTGTTTTCATCTATTTAACAGTAACTTTTTGACGAATGCGTTCGACTTGCGGAGATTTCATCGCTAACTCATATTTTTCGGACTTATATACATGGATTTCTAAATAATTTTAAAAAACTCGAACTGTTACGTGAATTACTATTATCTAATCTCGAATCGCACGAATGAGTCATTATCTTTCGATTTTCGAGCACATTAGTTAGATTTTATTGTAAACCGATTTCATCGATTGCAGTTATTACTTTGGATTTAAAGTTGATTTTTAAAATTCCTATTTTTCAACACAATATTATTACAAAACGTAGAATCAGAAATTTGAGGAACTCACGAAACTGCATATATAAGAAAAAATGGAAATTTTTCTGCTATAATTATTAAAAATACGGTCGAAAACGGTAAATAAATATCGTTCGAGCTTAATTCTCGGACAGATTTTTAATGTAAATATTAAAACATAAAAAAGTGGCAGATCGTAATTGAGAAGTTAAATATATAATCGCCACTCAAAATTTGTTTGTCACCTCTGTGACATCCGGATGACCGGGTTCATGTGCCCACACATAAGACCAACCGTTGTGCAGTATACGAGGGAAGTCTGAAAAGCAAATCACGCTTTCTTGCTATCTTAATTGAAGGTGTTATTTTTAATCGTAATTTAAAAAATGAACAGTTCTAACAGTTCTCTTTACTCCAACGTCAAAATACTTTTTTTTCTTTACTCCAACACCTGTTTTATATTGATATAGTTGATAACCATTTACAGCATTTAATCAGAACAATAATTTTTATTACAAATTTTACTGCTGAACAATCAGTTCGACAATTTTTTAACAAAAATTATTTTCTTAAATATCAGTAAATTTCGCTTTTTGTAATTTTTTCAGTCAGATTAAATAAAAACGGTACATCACTTTCATGTTTGTTCAAGATCTGCTTTTATGCTTGTTTTTATTTTCTTCATCAAACCAATAAAACTCACGATCGTTATGTGCTTAACATATACACTTTGATGTCGATTTCATGATGTGTTCAATTATTTGTGAAATCTGAAGCAAAATTTCAATTTAATCCTAGGCATCGACGATTTTCTTTTTATTTAAAAAGCTTGCCAGATGCGTTTAAAGTTTGTTAAATGAACTTCTTACTTTACTAAAACCTTTTCATGTTATGCCTTGATAGCTCCTACTCAAAATCTTTATTAAATAATATTCTCGTTCGATATTTGTGTTATTGTAAACATAAAAGTTCAGAAATAAAAATATTTATCATTTAAATTATTTATTATATCAATAACAAATAGACTCTCTGACGCATGAAATTTTTTAAAAAAGTGACCGCTTCCTTCACAGAAATATAAAAATGCGTTAAAGATACGAATTCCATATAGCCATCTACAGTAATTAACAGATTTAAGCGAATTTACAAACATTACACATTTAAATTGTTTTCATTGCATAACTATTGAATTCAGATGACAATGCATTTTATTGCTTTTTCTCTTGCTTACATCAATAAATAATATACATTTGATACGAAAGAACTTTTTAAACCTTTTTTTTTTTCAATATATTATTCACATGCGGATAAAGGCTTGCAAAATGCTTCTCCGCCTATTTCGATGTATTCAGTGTCACACTTTTGATGTGATGCCTCTCTACTCTATGGAAATGACAATTCATTAAATTGCCAAATGAAATTTTTTTCACTGAAGTGTAAACAACGCTGTTATATATACTAATATAACTCACTTTAAGATAAATTTTTTAACGAAGACATGTTACTAATACACTTTTGCTTATAATTTGTTGAGTAACTTAAAATGTTGTGCTTTTCTGTTTTGTTTTGAATCTTCATACTTTAATTTGCTCTGGGTAGTTGATATTAAGAGTTTTTTTTTAAAAAATATTTAATTAAGAAGTGCTTTTTTTGTTATTTTTTAAAACAATTTATCAATCAAAATCCCAAAAAAAAAAGTTTATATCTAAAGTACACATGTTTAACTCAATTGCATTGTTTGAAAAATAAATTTTAATTTTAAATCCATTTGAACAACAGGTTGCATTTACCAGAATAATCATTATGAAAACGGCGTACAAATTGACACCAATGAACCCTGTTTGAATTGTACATGTGTGCATAGTATGCTTATGTGCTATCTTCGAATATGCCCTTTTGTCAGACCTATAGGAGAAGAATGCATAACAGAAAAAGAAGAAGGAGACTGCTGTCCAAAAATTTGGTGTCCTGAAGGTAAGATTCATTTTCAACATCATTTGAATTTTTATACCGATTCATCATGATGTTAAGGCGAACAAAATAATGGAAACATTTCTATACTAATACACTATTTTCATATTTCCCCAAAAATACTTAAAGAATCATCTTATAACTTAAGTAGTGCTTAGATCAGTGGTTCCCAACCTTTCGTGGACCATCGCCCCCCTCTTGAGGTTGGCTGACACACATCGCCCCTTTCTCTTTTTGCTCAAAAACCATTCATTGTTGCTTGTGAGCAACCAAACACTTAAAATAGGTTATATTTGATTTTTATTTAAATTGTAATGCAAATAAGGATGCAATTTTATACTGCCATTTTTATTAATTAAAAAAAATTGTGCATCTTTTTTTTCAAAAAGAAATAATATTTAAAACGGAATAATCAAACAAAAGTACATTTTTTTAAATTCATATTTTAATGTTATCAAGAAAAGTTAAAACGCTAACAACTAAAATTTGAGAAAAAAATGAAGAGTGAGAAAGTATATTTTTACCACTTCAATGACTGCTCTGTGCTTGATGTATTTCAGTTAAAGCTTGAATATCAGGCTTTATGCTCGTCAGATTTAAACGCAGATCTCCTTTGAAGCAAATGTCCAACCTATTTCTCTGCTTTGTGAGCAGCTGGACGACAGAAATAAATCCTCGCTCCCCTCAAAATGTTGACGGGAACGAGATATGGAGTGGCTCAGTTGGTTTCCACAATTGTGGATAAGTGTCCATAAACTTTACCCAAGCTAACTCGTAACCGTATTTTTTAAAGACGACTTTAGCCTCTCAGTCATACTTCAAATCTACAAAGAGGAAGTGATCTCTTCTACAAAGAGGAAGTGAGCTTATCCACAACTTCAAAAGAGAAAGGTTCGAAAATCCAATCCGGAATTTCTAATTTCAACAATTTCTAATTTTTAAATCTTGATTCCATATCAGTTTTTAACTGATCAGGGTGATCAGTAAAATTTAAGATTTTATTTCCGAGAACCTCGATATCTGCCATTGAACACTTTTTGAGAGTGGGAAATTTCATTAGCTCTTTGTGACCAATGTTTGACTTGTAGATATCAAACTTGGCGTGGCGATGGATGAAGATATGATTCCCTTAGCCTTGATAATGTTCATTTTATTTCCTTGAAGTTTTAAGTTGATTTCGTTCATTTTTTTCAAAAATATCCGTGAGGTACGCAGTTTCCAACTTGCGTTGCTTCAAACTCTCACTTAAAACGGGATCAGTGGTGTCGAGAAACTCAGTAACTCTCATTTATGAATCTCACGTAAGCTAATACAATAGCTTTGTTATCTATCACAACTGATTCATCAACCTGCAACGCAAATTTACCTTCATCCAAAAATTTGATTAGTTTTGATTCAACGTCTGCGGCCATCTCATCAATACGCCTGGAAACAGTATTATTGCTCAGAGGAACAGAGTGACTTATATTGCTCGATCTCTCACCCAACATGATTTCAACAATTTTTTTAGTAGCAAGTAAAACAAGAGTTTCACCAATTGTGTGAGGTTTACCACATTTAGCAATCAATAAAGAAACTTCGTAGGAAGCAAGAAGACCTTTGTCAAGACCGGTTGTTTGTTTTTTAAATAGTTAATTTAAATTAGGCTGTTTTTCAAATTTAGATTTCAGATCTTGAAAATAACTTAGGGGTTTGCTCACTATGTAATCTCTATGAATGGTCTCTCATTCGCGAGGGTTTCATCGCCTCATAACTAGTAAATGTTTTAGCACACAAAAGACAATATGGAAACTCCGCATTTTGCAATGACGCGATAAAATCGAATTTTAAATATTCGGATGAATACTGACGACACTTCCTTTTCGAATCCACTGACACTTCAATATAAATGCATGCAACAAGCTAACAATTATTAACGGTGAAAAACAAGTAGCAAATAATAACGATTAAAACAATTAATAACGATATAAAACAACCTAACAATTAACAGTCAATGACTAATAACAAAATTTTAAAAGAAAAAAACAATTAAGCTATGCGAGGGAAAGAAAACGATTTTAGAACTGCACAAGAGTAAGGACACTATAGCAATGGCGAGGAGAGTCAAAGAGCTGGCTGACCAGTGCAAAAACATAGCCAAAGCGCCAATTATTTAGCCTTGGAAACTAATTCATCGCTAAATTAAAACATCTACTTTGTGCATTCGATTTTCTGAGATGGTATTTATGGGAGGAATACATTTAAAGACGAAAAAACTTCAAATACATGTTTCAAGATAAAATCGTCTTACTATACAATATATCTTTATAATTGTACTCATAATTCCATTGTTCACTGTCATTAATTCCAAGAAAATGTAGAACTACTTTTCAAAAACGTAGTGTTACATTTCCCACCTTTCTCTCTACAACTTTTTTATAGCTCTCAGGTCTATAAGAAACTGGTCTGGGGATGTCTGCTTCTATGGTTACAAGCAAGAGCACATTTTAATGGGGGTGCAATGAAGGAATGAATGTGACGATTGGTTTACTTGTAGTGACCTATGCCAAGATTAAGACAAAACTATTCCCCTCACGCTCGCCTATACAAAGCGAAAATTTTCCTCGTAACCATAGCACTAGCAGCGACGCGACACTGAGGTCTGGAGTTTTCCTGAAAGCCGTATTATAACTGCCGAACCGCATAGTTATCTAGCGATAAATGTTTCGTCTATCAATCCGTTTCTCCTATTAAAATCGGAGAGCAGGGAATGAGACGAGAGAGGAACATTTGAGGAGAAGAAGGTATATAAAAGACCATGACTTTCAACAGAAGAGAATTCTTGAAGGACAGATTTCCGCCTGCGATACCAAAACGTATGACGAAAACGATCCTGAACTTGAAGTTTTTTGATTTTTAACTATCATAATTCTTTGTCTACACCAAAACCATAAGTTTCATATATGTTTTCAATTTCGATCTCAAATAGCTTTTGTTAATAATATTATTAGCAATTTTTATCTTTTGAATACTCGTCGCCCCCTGATCGCCCTCCCTAAGGGTTATCGCCCCCAGGTTGGGAACCACAGGTTTAGATCATGTGATTTCTCATACATATCAATTAAGTTTAAAGCTTTTAAAAATTTGAGGGACTAACAATAAATTACAAACGCAAAATAGGGTTTTTGCACATCCTATGGTAAAAATGTAGCAATAAATTTATAACTTGTAACAGTTATTTTAATTATTACATGCAATAGTTGCACAAAATTTCGTAAGCCTAGCTGAAATATTTATGAAAATATTGACATTTTTTAAAAAAAAAAACTATTTTTTACTTTACGATTTTTTGCTATAACATTCAAAATATTTAATGAATCGTAGGCAACTGATGAAAAAAGTTTGATTTGAATATCGTAAAACGGTAAAACGGTAAAAGTTTCAAGCAAAGTAGTTTTTTTACCTTTTAAAAGAATGCTCAAAATTATATTGAGTTTTCTACAAATATTATTTTATACCATAAGATAAAATTAAGTAAAAAATGATAATACCTTACAATAAACGTTATACACCGAAATATGATTGTATAAGGAAAGAAAACATGCAAAAGAAAAGATACTTTTATGAGGGATGATCCCCAAAACTGCCTATTAAATACGGTGATATGATCTTTCAGATCTCGGGGTTTCATTCATTACACAAAACGCCTTTAACATAAAATATATTTAATAACAAGAAGGATGATGATGATGTTACAGTGTTATGGAGGAAAACTGTGTAGAAACTAACTGATTTTACATTGCTGCGCAGAGCGCCATCTATTGAGTATTAGAAATAATTAATATGGAGAAATAAATAATATTAACACTGCCGGTGTCATTTTTAATAAATTTTGTTTTATAGTATAAAATAAAATATGTGGAAAACCCCTTATCAATTTGAGTTTTCTTTTAAAAAAACACGAAAACTACTTAAAAAATTACTTGAAACTTTTTTAATTTTTAAGACATTCAAATCGAATATTTTTTATTAGTTGTCAAACGCGATTTGATACAAAATAAAGAAGAAAACAATTTTTTACCGCACACGCGCAGTATAACAGAACTACTAGAATTGCTCATATCTTGAGCAGCTTTAAAAAAAAATTTCTCAATTTTTAAGGCAATGATTTTGTAATTAAATTAAAATTTTTCCTAAAATTTTACTTTATTTTATTGAATTTTTTTAAAATTATAGCAAAAAAAAAAAAAAAAAAAAAAAAAAAAAAAAAAAAAAAAAAAAAAANAAATAAAAAAAAAAAACGTAAGACAAAAAAATTAGTTTTTTTTTTTATAAAAATGTCCATAATTCCATAAATATTTAAACTAAGTTTCTGAAATTTTGTGCAAAAATCGCATGTAATAACCAAAACAATTGTTACAAGTTACAAATTTATTACTGCACTTTTTGGAATAGCGTGTTCAAAAACACTTTTTTCCATTTACTGGGACTCCTCAAACCTCTGAAAGCTTTAAACTTCATTGATAAGTATAAAAAATTCCATAGCCTAAGCACTTTTAAATTTGTAAAATGAGTTTCTAAGTATTCTTTTGAGAAAGATAAAAAAATGTGTTAGTATAGATGTGTTTCCATTATTTTGCCCAACCCCTATAAATCCACTTATGTATTTAAAATTCCATAGTATGACAGGGTTCCCAGTTGATCATCGAAGTCAAGCATCACTGTTTGTGGTCAGCAGCGGGCAGGTGACCACTTTTATCCACCAAAAATATATGATTCATATCAAGGGACCGATCACTTAAAACAAGGGACCGACAATTCGCAATAGTGATTCTCGTTCAACTGTTTTACCATAAAGTGCTTGACTTCACGAGTAGGTCGTTAATTTACCTAAGTGGGGGAGCCATCCCCTCTTCAGAGGATCAAAATTGTGATGGCATATCTACGGATAATACTCTGGATTGTTTCCCAGACCGTCGCCAATAGCCCATTGTGCGGCTCTAATACGAAATAAATGAAGTACTACTTTTACTGTATTTTTTGTTCAGAAACCTCATAAATTCTAATGTCTTCGAAATCATGTTCAAGATATTTCCTCTCCACTGATAACTAAAAGATTTGCAAAAAGTCTGCATTAAGTTAAGGAGTATTCTGAACGTTTTTAAAATTTTAACAATCAAATACATAACAGCAACTGGAGATATATACCTATTAAATGTATTTACAAAGCAGATCAGTCTGATCCCTTAGTTTTTTTTTTTTGGATTAAACTGGTTCATTTCCTTATCGCTTGTATCAAAAGAAAAAATAAATTCAACTTGCTTTATTTTATAGTTAAACTGAATTTGAAATAAATAATAATGTAAAAAGAATTTTAAAAAAAATAATTCTAAAATGAAGGTTAAAATTGTTTCAAAATTTTTCCGTATTTATAATTATTTTGCTTTTGAAATAAGTGAACTAACAGATATTGGTAAAAAAATTTAAGAAACTTAAAAACAAAATAATAAAAATATCTGAATTTACATTAAATTATTTGAAAAGTACATTAAATTATGACCAAACATTTTAAAAAGGATTTAAAACTAAATATATAGAAATTTTCCAAAATGTCATCTTTTTTTAATAAATTTTTTAATTTATTTTTATTTTGAGACTTAATGATGTGTTTCTAAAATTTCCCCTTATGGAGTAATTGTTTGAATGGCGATGCTTTCCCTAAATCATTGTTTTTCTTAGAAAGATTTTAGAAACTACTCATAACTTTTCCTTTGTCTTAGAGATATTATAGATAACCGATGCACAAAAAGAAAAATATCCTTTTGTAAAATATCTTTAAAATACAATTTTTCTCTCCTGAAATAAAGACACGATTAAAAGCTTATGATTCATATGTTACAATATTTTGTAACGTTTAAAAAATAAAAAAATGGCACGGAATTATCTCTGGATTAACGAATTTTTTTAACTACGTGCTATAGTTTTTGAATTCGCTTAAAAGGTTTTCGAGATATGACTAAATAGCCAAAAAGTAAAATTAACATTGAAGTATCCAAATTTTCAACTGCTCTCTTGACCAAACTAGTGGGCTCATCTTTTTCAGATTATGGTTACTCATTTACATATTGTGGTTACATATTTTGAGAGTCGAAAAAAATGTAGGCTTATTCACAAAAAGTACTTTCTTGTGTATGATTTTGCAACTTAAAATATCGTTTGCACTAATTCCTTAGCATGCACGAGGTCAAAACTTTGAAAGAGAACGCCGGAAGAAACTTTTCCCTGTAAATTCTTTTTCACCTCCATAACCGAAAGTATAGAAAAAGTAAGTTTAGTCAAACCTAGAGTAAGCCATGTAGTTTTAAATACTGAAAAGAAATTTTTAAAATATAAAAATGCAAGCAAATGATTGGATTTCTCCATTGTGTAATCGTATGTTATCTTCTCATAATTAATTTTTATTTTGATGTTTTGAAAACTTCTTTTCAGTATCCAAAAAGTGATCGAACCTGTTCCGATTGTAAAGGTACCGAGAAAAAGATGAGTAATGATTGGAATCAATTTTAAAAGCTAAATCACTGTGAAAAAAGTTTTATAGATTAAAAATTATTATTTTCGGTTTGATTGGAGGGATATTTCTTCATATCGTTTTTTTCTTCATATATTTTGATTGAATACTTTACTTAAACGGCATTCGTGACGATTTAAAAGCGACTGTGAATATACAAAAAAAGCATATTTAAAATTAAATGTTTTTATACTTAAGGGGACATTTTCTTAAAAATCTAAGAATCTGTTTTAAAAGGAATCGATTGCTGCACATTTTTTAATTACAATTTAGTTGTATTGAAAAACATTATTCATTTTTTTAAAAATACTTATTGTTTTCTCTTTAACAGTTATTAAAGACTCAACAGAAACTCAAGTAAAGGACAAAAAACCAGGTAATTTGATTCACTTCGTTAAGATTGCAATTTTTATTTTTTGATAAATCATCGATTAATAGTCTTTTTCAATTTTACATTGATTCATAAGGTGGCCAGGTAGCCGAGCGGTCAGCGTACCTGACTGCGAAGCCAATGGCTGCGGGTTCGAATCCCGCTCAGGGCATAAATGTTTCGCTCTGAGTGTTGTTCTCTGTTGTGTGAATGTGGCCCATCCTATAAACGGGTATCTGTGGCAGTATGGCATGGGTAATGTTGCTCGCCTCCGTGACTTAGGTTAAATGGTGCCCACCGGGTAACGTTAAATGAGCAACACTACCGGCATCTTTCGAGGTGAAGAACAACAGTGCCTGCCGCAGGAAAAAAAACATTGATTCTTGGAGATGCACAATGTTGGTTATATGATTGATCTTAACAAAATTTAAATTTTTTCATTGCATCAAGAATAAGTGAGAAACTTAAGATGTTCACAAATAATAAGTTTTAACACGGTTGATGGCTAAAATTGAATGGAAACTTGATTCAATTCAAAGGTCAGCAATTGAAATGCTATTATTTGTTCTAGGATGCTATCTAGATGGTAAATATTTTCCTGATGGAACTCAATTACCCCACAACCCTAAGAATCCTTGTGAAGTGTGTTATTGCATTAGAAACAGCACCGCTTGTATTATGCAAGAATGTGAGCTAAAAGTTGAAGGATGTTCACCCATCTATAAAGATGATCAGTGTTGTCCCTGCCGATACAATTGTAGTAAGTGTTACTCTCCTTTTTTCTGAAAAGCGGTGTTAGGTTTTTTAATATTAATATCCCTTTCCTTTTAGCATACGAGGATACAGTAACAACCCCTGGTGTACCTATGCAAGAATTACACGGTATGTTGACTTCTTTAAAATTTCTCCTATACATCTATCTTTTAATATATTAATCTTTTAATCTAACTTATTTATCTCTAGAGGGATGTACACTGGATGATGGTAGGTTTGTTGCTGATGGAGAAGCATTGAATTCTTCTAATCCTTGTGAACATTGCTACTGTATGAAGAATGAGATGCTTTGTGTAATTCAGGAATGTCAAGCACCCAGTCAGCATTGTATTCCATTTCCAACCAAGCCTGATCAATGTTGTCCTGAACAATATGATTGTAATGAAGGTAAATATTGCTTTGAAAACAAGTATTTATTCTTCAGCAAACATATTCTTTTTTGCAGCTGTTAAAGTGTAATGAACCAAATTAATAAAAAGGTATCACCCTAAATAACCCAAGAAAGCTTTATATTGTCAAATACACACGTTTAATCATATGTTTATAAAAAAGTTAATTAAAGTAATTATTAAAATATGTGATAAGTGTACCCATTCATACCTTATTATATAAAAAAGTGGTAAAAAAATAAAGCTACTTAACAATCAAGTGTTTTAAAATACAACTGCATATGCAAAGTGCAGTATATCAAAGTAACCTATATTACCGCATTGTGTACCCCCTAATAAGTCTATAGCTATTTCCTCTTGTGGGGTACACTATTACTCGGTAATATAACACATGGTCCAATTTAAATATTATGGGTCAATATTAAGGGGAGATATATGACCATATTGTAATACAATTTTATTAACCAGAAGAAATTTGTAGAGAAGTATTGAGTGATAAACATAAGACACTAACCCTTTATTCGGGTAGATCCTAGAGTAGCCCACCACTTGGCAATTTTTTTTAAAATCTCGCCAAGCAAGTTTTTGAAATCTCGCCAGATTAGGTTTCCGGAAGATATTTTGGGGAGATTGTTTTGAATGTCCGATCACACCACCAAAATTCTTAAACCTGATTGGTTATTTGATATGTATACATACGCAAAAGTTGGATTTCGTTAGAAAAAAGCTAAAAAGGTTTATTTTTTTGCCATTTGTGCTTCTGATCTCTTGCTATTATAATCATAGTTATTGTTTCATTTTTTAACCGTTACTTCTATTATTACTGTTATTATTTAATTTTTTAAAAAATTTTTTTGTGCGGAATCGGTTGAAAATAATTTAAATTATACATATATTTTCTAATAATCAAAAGGTAACGTTGATCCCAGTAATAATCACCTACTTGGCGAGATTTCAAAAAGTCGTCAAGAGGGGAACTATTCTAGGATTTTATCCTTTATTCTTCTATACATAAAAATTTGGTTAAGCGGGATCTCTATAATACTTTCTAGAAATATGTTTAACTCTGTGGATCGGCATGAATATTCTTTCACTAGATGTTTTAAAAGAAGAAAATATAATAGATCATTATATACGTGGTCAACGTTTTTAATTTTTAGAAAGTTTTCATGCCGTGCACTTACTTTATTTGTATGCTTATTTACAGATCCTTCAACCGACATTTTTAAGGAGTTACTTTCCACACCAAAACTTCAGTTTTCTTCAATTTTTGATTCTTCCACCGAAGCAACACATTCAACATTGCAAGAAGCAATAAAAGGACTGCCAAAGAAGGACATTTTAGACGAAAACTCTGATTTCAATGAAGAATTGAGTTTTAAAAAGACATCAACAAATGTCAGTCCCGAGACATCTGTATCGGAAATAAAACCAACCGAGGATATTAGAGAATCTTCCAAAGAGACAACCTTTGTACCTTTTGAAAAAATAAACAATCAATTTTCTGTGAAAGGAAAAAAACCAACGACAACTAAAAATCCTCAACTGAATGATGGAAATTTATTGAAAGATCATCCAACAGAGATTGATGCCTCAAACAGCTATAATGTGGAAAACAAAATTACACATTTTAATGTGAAAGGAAAAAGGCCTGTGTTAGGGAAGCCAATTTTTCAAAATGGAATACCAGGAGAAAAGCCCGTGGATAGGATTCCTGGAGAAGGTAATAAATATGTTTTTTCCTATATACTGTAAATAGTTCTCCAAATTTGTTGTTGGACAACCAAAAAAAATAATAAAAAACGGGTGAAGGAGAACTTTATTTCAAGTTAACACTAAATTGAGTTTTTATATACATTCTAAGGGAGTAATTAAATTCCAAAACCTCTAATGAAAGAAGATTACACCAAACTGACGCGCTTTCACGCCATTAATGAAGTATTTTTGCCTCTGCTATCGCTAATTTCGGTGTACTTATTATATCTCCAGTAAATCGTTTACAATCGAATCTATCCAATGCTTCCTAGAAGAGAGAAGGTCTCAGCACGGGTAATCATAAACAGGAAAGTCCAAACGTAATTGCATCTTTCGTAATTTCCCCACTGCACAACTTAGTAGCCTTAACGTATCGGTATCTTGGTTACCTTGCCTCCACTGCGCAGTTTGTGTTCCTTACGTAGGACTACTAAATTAATCCGTGCTGAGGTCTTCTCTCTTCTAGAAGGTGTTGATCGATCGTACAAGGTAGTGTGCGCTTGTTGCGGACCTCAACTTGTATGCTCTATATCTACCGAAACAAAAGTTTGCTATTAAAAAAAATGAATGTTTTTAGTTGTGCACTATGGATAATTTTATTCTAGTTTTAAAATATCTATCAATTGTTTTAAAAAATTTTTTAATTTCTATTCGCTTAAGTTTAGTTACGCCTATATTGAATTCTTTGCAAGTGTATGTTTGATTTAAAAATTAATTTTATTTTAAGAATTAGTGTGGCGCAACCTAAAATAAGAAATCGTGAAAATAACTTTACTGACTTTAATGTGTAAACTGTATTCCAAAATTGGCTACCAATATGAAAAGGAAAGTAATGAAAAAGAACATTCCTGGTATTTTACTACACCTAACATCGTTCACCTTTGAACTGTATAAGATTTATAAGCAACCTGATATTATTAAATACATAAAAATAAATATAATGAAATGGATAGCCCATGTGATTCGAATGAGTGATGACAATACAATAAAAAAGATATTGCTTTTAGACCCACTTGAACAAGAAAGTGGGGAAGACGGCGGTTAAGATGAGCTGATTCGGTGGAGTCTGATTTTCTTGCAATAAATGAAAAGAATTGGAGATCTAAGATAAATCGGAAGTCGTTATGAAGAAATCTTCAGAGGAAGGCATTGGCCCACATTGGACTGTCTGGCCAACTATGATGATGATAAACACCATCTAATTCTCTGTGTTGCTTCCCTTTATTACTTTTGGTGCAAAGTAGTTTCCACCATTTCCAAAAGTGCTAAAATATCCTAAATTTCTTACAGTTTAGTTATAAAATATGACACACGAGACTCACTTATAGAAACACGAAAAACAGACAAAAGTGCATGTATACATTTATGTTTCATTAACACAAATTATCTCTTTTTATCTTAATAATGAACTCTTCCAGAATAAATTTTTATATTTAGGAAGTAAAAGAGACGTCTTTTTTAAAGATGCCCATTTTTCATACAGTTTTTTGAAATTAGAAAACCATAATATTTCTCAATCGAGTTAACTAGCTCAGATTATATATGGTTGTGATAATAATGGTTATAATAATATATGATTATAATAATGTGATAATATATGGTTGTGATATGGATGATAATAAGATAAAGAAAATATATGATAATATATGGATAAATTCCTCAGTTGTCACATTTAATAACCCATTAAGAGTTATCACATACGCTTTTGAAATAATTTGAAAATTAATTTTTTTTAAATGCGATGATAAGAAAACATTCATGAAATCTCAAAACTTATATATGATCTTTCCAAACAACTCGTATTATTTTCTAATATACAATCTGAGACAATAAAATTTTTGTTTCAAAACAACGCAAATAAACCTTTCAAATTCATTGAAAAAAATGGCATATACTCGAGAGCTTACAAAAGATACTGATTTGAGACATGTATTATTTTAAAAGGCTAAATTTTTTGTTTCCGCAGATTGGCCGTAGCTAAATACTGACGGATTCTAAAACGGGTTTTTAGAGTAGTAACAGAAAATTCTCTTTTTATCAGGTATTTGCCGTTTTGACAATCGTGTATATAATAATGGAGATACCATCCCAACAACAGATATATGTACCAAAACTTGTCAATGCTTGAACAGCAGAATATATTGTAATAATATTATTTGCAAGCACATTCCACAAAATTATTCAGAAAACTGCCGAATAGCGCAACACGAATGCTGTCCAATTTTAGAATGTGCTACTGCTGATGGTGAGTATTTTTATTTTAGCTCATTAACTTATTTAGTTTATATATAAATATAGTAAAACCTCCGTCAAGCGGACATTCTTGGGACCGAAAAAATTGTCCGTTTGCGGGAAGGGTACTCTAATAACGAAGTTTAACACTATAAAAATTGTTTTAAGAATATTTTCAAAGATGCGGAAATAATTTAATAATTTATAATAACTATCCACACGTATATTTATTTAAACTTTAAGAAAGATAAAAAAGAATATATAACGAAGTTTGTAAATGCATAATTCTAGATGTAGCTGAAGATAAATGAATATAATTTTCCTATTAGCATAGATATTAAAGTTAGGTATATGATACCGAATAGGAGCTTTCAGTTCTCAGTCGGTTTCAATTATTAGGTTTACATCCCTTTACACCCACTTATCATTTGATAGGGAACGTGGTTAATACCTTCTTTAACCCCTTGGGGACGGGTGATTCATGAAAGCATTCGTACAAAATCAGAATCAGCTTAAATGCAGGAGTTGCTAATTTCACAGACTTACTTTGCCTTGAATTTAATTAGTGTTAGTTTAATTATATATATAATCAATGTTAATTCAAAGTATAACTAAATAATTTTATTTTGAACTAAGTAATGGTGAATTAAATAAATCAAACAATTATAACCCCGCCCACAAATAAACTTCTAAAGAATTACTTTGATTACCAGTTTTATCTTTTTACCCTGGTTGATACTGTTTTATGCTGTCACGTATTTGTGACAGTCGGCGCGAAAGGGTTAAAGTAAACCTCCCACGATTCACAGACAAAAAAAGAAATGCATATCTGTAATTCATGAAGACCTATGGAGTTGATTATTCACAATTGATCAGCTATCAAGTGTCTGAATAAATTTTTCTTTTATATGAACGCCTCGAAGTTTATACTTTTGTTCTCTTTTTTACCCCAGCTGTGTTAAATGCAGTGTTCAAATTGATAAGAAAATTAAAGAAATTTTTAATGGGGAAGAAGCATTGTGAGCATTTAAGATGTCATTTCTACTTGACCTGTGTGGTCTTGACCTTCTCATAACCTGTGTGGTCCAGATGAAAAGATCAAAAGATGCCGCTGTCCGAATTATTTCAGCAGAGTAGTATCATTTTTTCTCTTGTTTTTGCAAAAATAAGGCAAGATGACAAGAGAAAGATTGATTCTTCAGTAGTGAAATAGCTTGACAATATTTTTAGTTATGGATAAGGCAAAAAATTTACATGCTTCAAAAATGGTGAAAAGTTGCATTTTTTCCTGTTTCAATTTAAAGCAGAAATAGTTTTTTTTTAATTTAGAAAAAATAGTGTCCGGTTTGAAGAGATAGAAAATAACGTTTCAGGGCCAAAATGACTGTCCGCGTCCGCTTACAGGAGTGTCCTCTTTGCGGAGAGCAGCCATACCCATGGTAGTTAACCTTTCTCCAAATGGGTTTTTGCATTTTAAGCTGAAAGTTGAAACTACACAACTGTATAATTTGTTTGTCAAAACTTTATTATCTTGTGCACCAAAATAGTGTTTGAAATGGAGTTATCATGTCAACAGATCAAAACGATTATATACTATGAGTTCCGAATTAAGCTCAGTGTCACTGAAATCCACAAAAAATGTGAGAAAGTTTAGGTTTCAATACTGTTGCTTATGACACAGTAAAAGTTTGGTTTCGAAAGTTTAAAGGTCGGAATTTCGACACTGAAGATTAACCACGTTCTAGCCGCCCTGTTAAGGTTGATTGTGACTACTGAAAGCAAATCATTGATCAAGACAGGAATGTTTCAAGACGAACTATTGCGTTAAAACTTGACGTTTACCAAAAAAACAATAGTTAACGCTCTCAAACGCATAAATTTAACTTTTAAGTTTAACAGCTGGATGCTTCACGAATTGACTGCTGGAGACAAGAGCAAGAAAAAAGCGGCCTGTTTGACTCTGCTCAGAGATCAAAGAAAATAGAACATTCTGGACAGAATTATGACCTGTGATGACAAATGGATGTACTACAACAATACAAGGCGTAAAAGAGGGTGGTCAACACCCGGGGAATCAGCAGGTCCGGTTGCAAGACGAACGCTAACTAACAAGAAGGTGTTTCTCTGTATTTGGTGGGATTGTCATGGAATTATCTATAAGGAGTACCTGAAAAGCGGGTAGGCTATCAACAGTGCAATATACAGTAATATGCTAATCAACGTTAGTAATGCCATTCGCGAAAAACGAAAAAAAAACAGTTCAGAAGTAAGGTGGTCCTCTTTCATCAAGATAACGCCCGGCCGCATGTTCGTGCGATGTCGAACTTGATGCAACATCCGCCATACAACCAGGCATGTCGCCTTCGGATTACTATTTGTTTTCACATCTGCAGCTGCATCTTGATGGCACAATCTTCCATTCAAATGATGAGGTCATAATTGAGGTCGATCGCTTTCTGGACTCGCTCAAGCCACAGTTCTTCACAGAAGGGATTGAAAAGTTGCCAAAACGCTAGTTGACCACTGTTGATTTGAATGATATATATATATATATATATAACGGAGGACGTTGCTATCAGATCCTCCTTCTAAGCAGTACACCTATTCATGGCGTGTTCTTTTTTAAATATGCACAAAAAAAGTTTTTGAAAGAACTATGTTGGAAATGCATATTTTTAGTGAATGTTTGATCAATTCCTTTTCTCAGATGGCGAAATGTTTGTAAAGTTGAACAAA